ATTTGCACAGATAGTATTCTGACTTTGTATTTCATACAATTTTAAAACTGTAATTTTTATTGGCATTATGAAGATGACAGTGATTTACAGTGGCCTGTGTTTTTATCTACTTCACTGTCTTGCGGTCTAGTGCCTAAAGACACTTTTAATTTGCTATTCACATCTGTTTAAAAAAAGAAGTGAAACCATGCAGTATCTGAAAATTAGAGTCTATTCAAGACCTTGCACGTGGCTGCCAGTCTTCCCCATTCTAAGACCTAGCCACTTCGTTCACCAGTAAGAGTTGATGTGTTTGACCAGACTCTCTGTTAGACATATTAGCAGGAGCTCATCAGATCTCAGTTAAAGGTTAATCTCAGTTCAGGAGAAGTTTGAAGTTTTCAGTTAAAGACCACAGAAGGCTTAGTGGAAAATTGGAGACACTAAGATAGTGATCAATGGACACAACACTTTTCTACCTGAGAATGCCAGTAATTGGAAAGTGTAGCAAAATCAAGTTGAAGACCTGAAAACTAAGATAGGATTAAGAAATGTCACATTGGCGGGGCGTACAGGGACAGAAAAATGGAGTTTGCTTCCAATAGATTGAAGGTGTGGGGTTTGATAACTTTGAACTCTCCTCATGTGTTAGTATATATTCCATTTCTGCAAAAGTCCATCATCCCCAGCAACCCCAGAAATCAGCAGGTCTGAATCAGTTAACAAAACTATGAAATGCTATCTCTGGATATGCTTTGATTTGAATTTTAGGAATAAAAAGAGGTTTTAAAAATCACACATTTGTTTATTGGCTGTCTTGGGCAAATAGAGACAAATGTCATTGCCGAAGAGAGCTGGCAAATGGGAATTTAGAATACCATTTGCCCAAAGAGGCAGATGGTCTCTGTAGAAGCCTGATTTCGTTTATGGTCCCTTCTGAAGCTGAATGAAGGTAGTTGAATTTGAAGATAAAGTTGAACTGAAATTGTGGAAATACTTGGATACATAAAGGACTCTAATGTAGAATTTGATTTGCGTTTTAAAAAGTGCATTTAGACATTTAACAGAATTTTTACAAAAATTTGTCTTCAACGGATTTGCCAGGGAAAAAACAAGATTATTTTGTTTGATGGTGTAATGATTAATCCTACCACCTGGGTAAGCCAAGTGAGCTTCCCACAGGAGATGGCTTATGCAGCTTTGAATTATGTATGAATACTCTAGACTGATGAGAGCTAACCTTACCAAGGGATTCATTTGTAGAACAGACAAATCTGTAACAGTGTTACAGTTTCCTTTGAACACCTTAAGTTCATTCTCCACATTCAGAAAATGAGAATTCTTTGTGGAGATTATGATGTGATTTTTTTTGAAGTGTCAGGTCAAACATACCAAATCTCAATTACAAATTGGTCATTAATGAAAAAGTCGGTCAAAGAGTTTGAGGTACCAGCAAACTTGTGTTGTCTTCCATCATGAATGCAGAGTGGATGCTGAGGGTCCAGTAAAAGAGCAGGCTAAGTCTGGTTTGACTCAACCTGACAATTTAGGACCTAGAAGTCAACACCATAGTAATCATAGACGTTCCTCATAGCACTATAGAACTAGGGATTGTTTCAACATGAATTTAAATAGTAGAAATAGAAAAGCGCTAACTTCCTCTTTGTGAGCCATATACCAGTTAACAATTCTGTTTTATAGTAATGAATATCAAATTGTACTTACCTGGAAAAAAAATCTAGTTATCCTGGTCATGTTTGTTATTTCAAGATACGCTAAGATATAGTGTATTAGAAATTCTAGTCGCTTTTTTGTAATTTCATTTTGAAGATTTTTTTTACCTTCTGTCTCATGGATGAAATGGGGGAAATTTTCATTTTCTTTATTATCTCCTTCCTGATGCTGTCCTCTAGTTTGTACAGAGGATCAAGTAATCAGAACCTGAGTTCTCTGATTCCCATTTTGGTGTTTTCCCTATTATCTTAAACATTTCTCGACGAAATATTGGTGGTGAACTATTTTGTTAGGAGATAAAGTTTGTATCTAGGAAAGTGTCATTTTACTATTTGGGAGGGTTTTCTGATTTTATATCTATGAAAGAAATCAATGGTGAAAAATTATATTCCCTTATAAAATTAATATGCCTTAGATAACTTGTCAGATTTTTACTTCCTTCTTTCTTCCTAGACAATTTGTCTATTGATAAATAGTGTCTGAGTCAACCTTCTCTGATGCTGTTCTCAATTCTTTTTCATTTTTTAGTCCTAGCATGTTACCATTTCTAAGCTTGAACTCTCAAAACCTCTCCCTTTCCCATCTCTTTTACCATTTTCATCATACAAAGAGGTGTTCTTCTCTCAAGCATTAGGATGTGACATACCATTGATGCATTTTTTAAAAAAAACATCCTTCCTTTTAGACTTTGCTGTCACAGTAAATGCCGATCTTAGCATCCATTCACAATTCCTTGTGATTTTACTTTCATCAATTCTCTTTGTGTAGTTCTTGATAGCTGATGATTATTTTAATTGGTGGTTTAATATGCCAGTGTACTTATTTTAACATGTGCTTATGAAAACTAATCTTTATGTGGAATATAGATTGTGTTGTGCTGGTCCTCAAAGAGTTAATAAAACTAGTTTCACTTTGCTTAGTTTCCCAGAGGTAGTTTGGCACATTTCCCAGACCAAACCCGTAAGGTAAAGGTCAAGGTGCAGTGGATGATATTAAGGTGCAGAATTCGAAACTTGTATCTTACTTGTAGTCCTCCTGAGCTCAGTTGGACCTCGGGTACATCAGAGCTTTAGAACATGATTAACAGACCAAAGAAGGCCCTGTAGAATATCCTTTAATGGGGAATTGTATGAGTGAGTACAGTGGGTGAGTCTTTTACATTTCTTACTTTTTAACATCCATATTTTGTTTTGAGAAGCCCTTAAGAGCACAGAGCTGTGTTTCATGTATGTGGGAACAGGCCCAGGGAATTCCTCACAGTTTAACAGCAGCAACTCTTGCTGTGGTTTTCACAATAGCTGAGGCTCATTGTACATAGCCCGTTCCTTGGGAGGAAAACAGACAGGTGAGTGTAGAGTTGTGGTTTCTGAACCAACCTTTACCAATCCTTTTTGATAATGGAAAAGAGAGCTTTCTGGTAACAATGAGGAGATTGGGTGAAGAAGGAGAAAAGGCAAGAGCAAGTTTGTGGAGATGAGGAGCCTAAAAACCACATTTTAGGGAATATCTTAAATTGACTCTGAGAAGAGAATGTCCCTTTATATTTATTGCTCTGAAATCAGAAATGGTTTATATGAACTTTTGCCCAGTAAACATCATTTTCCTTCTCCTGCAGCATGTTGATAACTACTTAGTGATCTACATTAAGTGGTGTCCAAGAGAGTCTCAGAAATGTCACTTTCCTTTGTCTTTACTAATGAATGGAAGTAGAGGCCTCTTCTTACCTTAGTTTTATGATCCCTTTTATGAGAAACTAGTTTTGTTTGCAGCCCTTCTTTTGGGTTGATGACATAGAGCAGCCCATTTAGAGGCAGCATGCTTTTACTGTGTGAGGCCTCCTTTACATGAACCACCCTACTGGCTGCTGGCAGAGTGGTGCCTTGCCAGTGGTGCTTTTCCACTTTACCACTGTCCCTGAGAGTGGTACCGTAAAGGAACCATAAAGGATCCTCTAGCTCATTGCTCACTCCCAGTGTATAGAGACCTCTGGCTCTGCCAGTTTTGAAGGAGTATTTTTGAAGTCGAATATCCAGCAGACTTCAAGGCCTGTTTTCTGTTCAGACACATGCATAATTTCCATAATGAAAGATTGATAAGAAGGTACTGCTTCTTCAGATCTACTCCCTCAAATCCACAGGTGATATATGTTCTGATGACACATGATCAAACAAAGTGCCTCTTTTAAAGAACTTGTAAATATCACCATGATTCACTGCCAATTGAAAATCCAGAAATAACATGTAAACAGTATGTCGGATATTTGCCTCTTTCTCTTTGCCCACTAAAAAAAAAATAATACAGGAAGAAGAGTTGGTGAGTATATGACAGTCTAAGAACACTTTCAGAAACCATTAAAAATGCTTGATTTCGAATTTATTTTGTTGGATAGCTCAGTGAGATTTCCTAACTAGGCCAGTTTTTTCTACCAACATTTAATGACCATTTCATCCCCTTGTACTTAAGAGCAACAGAATAGATAGGTCAGGTAGAATGGGAACTGGGGAAAAGCTAGCTATACGCAAATGAGCAGGCGGCAGTGAAACAAGATTGGAAACACAGAGTATTATGGATATGCCACATTGTGGTATGTGGCTAATAGGATATTTCAGATTCATTTTAATAGGTAAGATTAACTAGAATGCAGAACTTTCTTTTCCATTTGCCTTGCTGCTGCATGCATGCATGCAGGCAAAGGTTGATGCTTCTGTCCTCCTGGCAACAAGACTGTCCTGGCCTCAGTTTACCTACTAAGACATTTGCTTAACGTCCTTATTTAGTCTAATCTCAACTTGATTCCTGATCCTTTACTAAATACTTTAGTGTGTGGTAAATACTATATACTAAATAAAGTAAATATATAAAGTATTTGATACTTGCTAGAGTGTTATGTACTTTAGTATAGTAAGTATGCTAAATAGTTCACTAAGTATGTGTGTATTTTGTGTCTAATTAGTGAAGCATTCAGCTTTCTCACCACTATCATCACCACCTTCTGCCTAAAAAAAAAATTTTCTCTTCTTACCTTCTTATTCTCAAGCTTCCCTCTGAGCTTACCATACCTCCTCTACCAAACTGGATTCTCAATATGTCTGGATCAAGATAAATAGAAGGATCAGCCTGCACGAAGGACTGCTTTCTATTCAGACAAGTTATTTGAGCGCTTATGACCCATTGTTATGACTCTAGGGCTAGTTATTTACATTTATGGCAAGTAAATGCCTTCTAAAAACCTAAATTTTAGCAAGACCTTTGAATGCTAGTATAACCATGGTGTGATTTTGTTTCAGTCACAAAACCCATGAAGTGACAGAGGATTTTTCTCCTCGGGATCCAAGATCTGTTGTTGTGAGGGAAGATGATGGAGGCTGTGCTTCTGTCCCAGCAGCATTGCCCCTACCTGAACTGGAAAGGGAAGAGGAAAAAGAAGATGTTTCAGATACTCTTGACATGAATCCCTGTAGTGCAACCTATAGCAACTTAGGTAAGTAAAAATGTCATGTAAATAATATTTAAACCTTTCCTTTTTATGCACTATCCAAATGCTATATTTCCCTGGAGAGATGGTTTTTATTGCTGCATGGAGCAAACACTGGACACTAGAGCCATGAATTTTCTTTTTTTTTTCCCTATTTTTTTAAAGTTTTTATTTAAATTCCAATTAGTTAACATAGTGTAATATTAGTTTCAGTTGTGCAACATAATGATTCAGCCTTTCATATAGCACCAGTGTGGAGCCAGAAATTTTAATTCACATCAGAAAAAGTCCTGGTGTTTACTAGGCACATATTGAACCCTGCTACCATGAGTCCTGTGCCATGTGCTAAGGGTGTGACATGGTCCCTGCCTTGAGGGACTCACCTGGAGGAAAAGAGATGAACTTGTTAATGATTTCAGTATTATATGATAAATTCAGTGATAGAGATACACATGGAATATCTTTTATATTACACAGGGGAGGGTGTCAAAAGATGCCTTCCTAGAGGTAATTCTTGAACTGATCTAGCTGGTTGACAGAGGGAGGAAAGAGTATTCCAACCCAAAGCAACAACAGGAGCAAAAGCATGGAGGTATGAACCAGCTTGGCGCACATGGACGCCACAACCATTTAGTGGTGCTAAAATATGAACTGAAGAGTTAAATGAGATAATGCATTTCAAGCTAAAACCTTAGACTTGTTGCTCTTTGTGATAGTAACCCATCATCAAAAGGTTTTAAGCAGAAGAATAATGTGATTAAATTTGCATTTTAGAACATCTACTCTACAGGCTGCTGTGAGAGGATGGATTAGAAGTGAAGTATTTGTAGCCTAAAATCTAGTAGTTGGATACTTTGCCTCAACTAAGATAGTGGGAAGGGGAACAATAGACAGGTTTCAGAGATACTTAAGGGGCAAAATACATAAGGCTTAGTGGTTACTTCGATATGAATGATGTGAAGAATCTATGTCTCAGATTTCTGGCTTGGGGCAAGCTGACTCAAAGAAAGAAGATCCTAATTTTTGGAAGTATTTAAGGAGAGGCTGAAGGGCCATCTCTCAGAGATGCAGTGAAGAAGAATCCTACGAAGAGGGTGGACTAAATGACCTCAAAGGTGCCTGCCAATACAAAGATGATCAGTTTTCCAATCATCTTCACTCTTCTTCCTTGAGTACCCAGTGACTTTCGATCTATCTTCCTTCCTTGAGCATCTCAGAGTTTTCCTTTCTTCTAAAAAGCAAAGCCTAGGGCTGGATAAGGATTTCTCATTATTATTCTCCCATGAAGTCAGGAGAGAGGGGAATAGCATGAGTTGGACTACCACATGTGCAGCACTGGCAAGATCCTTATGGACCTCTGACCAACTCTTACACTGGTAGAAATCAATGGCGTATAAAAGCATTCTTCTGCCTAGTTTCTCATCTTCTTTCTTTGTCTTTTTCCTTCATCAGGTTTTAGTAAGGAAGAATTATTTTAAGATCAGCTAGTGTAGTTGGAGATAAATGAGCCCTTAAGGCAAAAAGGTTGAGGTAACACTGTAGGAGAAATGCTCTAATACGTCCTTTTGAGAAACTCATTGTAACAACGCACATGCAGTTGAAAATACATTTTGTAAGGAAAAGACTTCCATTCTAAGTTCTAGAAGACTTGTATGACTTAGGTGTTGGGGAGAATATATTAGTTTACCCAAGCAACCGTCTTAGATACCATTTTCCAGTTGGAAGAGATTTTATAGTGAAACAGCTTACTCAACTTTTCCCATTCTTTTATGTTTTATGAAGCATCTTATAAGATGAAAAATTTACTGCTTATTTCCTATAGTATACTCTCAGGCAGCATAATGTATCAGTATATCTTTCAGATGTTCTTACTGCACCAAAATTTCTTTTATGATATCGTCAGTAAAATATATACTAATTTTTACTGATCATATGGCATCTTATGGCATCTCTTTAAAAATATCCATTAGTGGGCGCCTGGGTGGCACAGTCGGTTAAGCGTCCGACTTCAGCCAGGTCACGATCTCACGGTCCGTGAGTTCGAGCCCTGCGTCAGGCTCTGGGCTGATGGCTCAGAGCCTGGAGCCTGTTTCCAATTCTGTGTCTCCCTCTCTCTGCCCCTCGCCCGTTCATGCTGTCTCTCTCTGTCCCAAAAATAAAATAAATGTTGAAATCTTTTAAAAAAAAAAAAATATCCATTAGCTGGGGGCACCTCAGTGGCTCAGTTAAGTGTCTAACTTTGGCTCAGGTCATGATCTTACAGTTCATGGGTTTGAGCCCCACATCGAGCTCTGTGCTGACAGCTCGGAGCCTGGAGCCTGCTTCGAATTCTGTGTCTTCCTCTTCCTCTGCACCTTCCCAACTTGTGCTCTGTCTCTTCCTCTCTCTCAGAAATAAATAAACATTAAAAATACACACACACACACACACTAGCTGGGGTGCCTGGCTGGCTCAGTTGGTAGAACATGCAGCTCTTGATCTCGGGGTTGTGAGTCTGAGACCCATGTTGGGTGTAGAGATTACTTAAAAATAAAAATTAAAAAATCTTTTAATAAAAATCCATCAGCCAACATTAATTAAAGTTACTTATTTTATCTTATTTGTCTTGTCAGTTATGTAGGTAATTAGAAAAAGCGGAGCATTCCTCATATGAGTATGTCAAGTACCTCACATATATTAACTCATTTAATCCTCTCAACAACCTTAGGAACTTAGATCCCCATTTTTCAGATGAGGAAAATGAGTCAGAGTGCCTTGCCCCAAGTCACAGAACCAATAAGGACTGCATCAGGATTGGAACTCAGTTGGTCTTAACCTCAACTATAATGGTCATAACCACTAAGTTCTTGTAAAAAACTAAAGGACTGCAGCTGTCTCCCATTTTTGTTTTTGTTTTGTTTTGTTTTGTTTTTCTAAGTCATCTACTCTGAAACACAAAATTTAAGAATTTTTCAAAATATTATCATTACTTAGAATACAAAAAATACTAGATTATAGATGCCCCATCAGAAGGATAGCATTCTTTTAGCCTATTGCTTTACTTTTAAAAGTGGTAGGTGATGCTCACAAAATGTTGCCTTATTTTCCTTAAGTGTTTTAAGTGGCTATACTTGATTCCATAGCATATGACACGTCACATGGTTAGTTGCTCCTTTGGGAAGGTCTATGTGAATAAAACAACTGAGTACTAGATAGGATTGACACCATCAGTTCTACAACTCAGCGGTTTCAATTTTTTTGTTCTTATTTTTTCTCTAATGAAATAAGTATTTTAGATGGTATTTGGAACTTACCTTTTTCAATATTTTCAATAAATCATTTTCAGGAAATTTTAAACTGTCCTTTTGGGTAATTTCTTGTGATTTAATTTCTTGTGATTTATTTTTTAAAAATCTGTGTTTAAAAACTGAAAGGAAACAATACTTCTTAATGTAATCGCTTTAGAACCTTTCAAATAGTCTAGAACCAATCTAGTACTGCTTGCTTGCTTTTCTTTCTTTCATCTTCTTCTTTTTTTTTTTTTTTTTTTTTTTTTTTTTTTTTTTTTTATATATATGAGGCAGAGGATGGATGGACCAGTGGAAGACATTGATAGAGGAAAGTTAGGGGTTACCATTATTTTTACTGTGGAATTTATTTCTGAAAATTACATTGTAAAGTGGACCTAGGAAGCAGTGTAATATAGTAGAAAAAATCCTAAGTTTGGAAGATCAACCAGATTTTGGTTCATATGACAGCTGTGTCATTGCCCACCTGTATGATCATAGGTCAGCTATTTAACATCCCTGAGCTTCAGTTTCCTCATCTGAAATGAGAGAATAGTAACATCTGCTTTGTAGGGCTGATTGTAAAAGAACTTGGTATACAGAGGTGCTTCATAATTATAAGTTCCTTTATTTCTTCCCAAAGATATGCTGTTGCTTTCTCCTTCAAATACATTTGATGTGTTAGCCAGAAAACATAGAATAAAGTGGAAATAGTTTAACATGTTTATTAGAAATGTTGAGTAAGCAGGAAAAAATATATAAATTCAAAAAGTTGTCAGTTGCCTACACAACTAATGACTGAAGTTGTGAATATAATACAGGATACGGGATCCGAAAGTGGCTAACAGGGACCAGAAGACAGATGACAAGTAATAGTAATGTCATTATGACAGATCCAGTTCCCCCAACATCTGCTAATTATAGCAACAAAGGGATACAGTTTGGATTTGTTTTGTAGTCCCCCCGCTTCTTAGATAGTTCTGAAAACTAATAAGTTAAAAGAAAAAAAAAAACTCAACTGGAATAGGCTTTAATTACCCAACCTCAGAATCTCCCATTGGACCCCCACCCAAGATACAATGTCGTTACTCCACTGTAGTGTAACAAGAGCTGTTGTGATTCAACCATTCTTTCAAAAAGCTACTAATTTATGCAAACCATACCTTAGAACCATCTTTTTTCACTTTAGAGATCATTCACTGTGGTTAATGGGTGCCTTTTTCCTTGTCTTTAACATAAAGCAAACTTTATTTTGTTTAAACTGGTTTAATTATTAGATTCTAGAGCTTGCCCTATCCAATACAGTCAGTAGCTACTAGCCACATCTGGCTATTTACATTTACATTCGTTAGAATATAAATAAAAATTCAGTTTCTTAGACTCACTAGCAACGTTTCAAGTACTCAGCAGCTGCAGGTGGCTAGTAACTACTGTGTTGGACATGCACATATAGAACATTTCTGTCATCACAGAAAGTTCTGTTAGACAGCACTGTTTTAAAGAATCAGTTATTTGGGGGATTTGTATTTGTCTTATTGTGTTGTCTACTAACAAAAGTCATATTGGTCTTTATGTAACTTGAAAACTCTTTTTTTTTTAATATATGAAATTTATTATCAAATTGGTTTCCATACAATACCCAGTGCTCATCCCAAAAGATGCCCTCTTCAATGCCCATCACCTACCCTCCCACCCCCCATCAACCCTCAGTTTGTTCTCAGTTTTTAAGAGTCTCTTATG